TATGTTGTGGATTATGGTGAGGAGAATGAGGGTTACCGCTGTTTCCAGCCCGACCCGGGCATTGGTACTGCTGCGCTAGGTGCTTGTGAGGCTGCTGCTCTAGGTGCCAGTGCGTCTGCGCTCTCAGGTACTGGTGAGACTGCGCTCTCAGGTACTGAGTCGTCCTCGTCCTCCCTCACTTTCACACTTGACTCCGGAGCTTCTCGCTCCTTCTTTCGAGACCGCACTACCCTTACGCCGCTCGGCTGGCCAGTTGCAGTCTCCCTTGCTGACCCCTCTAGGGGTCCTGTCCTGTCTCACTTCTCCACTGTCCTCCCGTGTCCGGCTGCCCCTTCGGGCACCCTGTCGGGTCTGTACCTTCCCTCGTTCTCTACGAACTTGGTAAGTGGAGCGGACCTGCAGGATGTGGGTGTTCACCAGTTCACTCCTGCGAGTCAGCGGGTGACCCACTGCACGGAGGCACGCACAGGCCGACACCTGGCCACGTTCTCGCGTCGGCCGGGGTCGAGTCTCTACACCCTGACCGTTGAGTCTCCTCCTGTCCCTGCGTCTGGTCAGGTGGCTGCGTCGGGTCAGGTACTTGCTGCTTCGTCCCGGTCAGGTCCTGAGTCTGCCCCCTGTTCTTGTCGCCTCCTGTCTCACGAGACTCTCCTGTGGCACCACCGTCTTGGCCACCCCTCCTTGCCCCGTCTTCGGAGCATGGCTTCCCGTGTCCTTGTCTCTGGTCTTCCCCAGTCTCTCCCTCCTCTCCCCTCCGGGCCAGGACCTTCCTGTGTCCCCTGTGTCGAGGGTCGCCTCCGGGCTACTCCTCACTCCTCCCACTTCCCCCCGACAGAGGCTCCCCTGCAGACGCTTCACATGGATGTGTGGGGCCCAGCCCCCGTCCGTGGGCAGGGTTACGAGCGCTACTTCCTGTTGGTGGTTGACGACTACTCGCGTTACACCACAGTCCTCCCCTTGCGCAGCAAGGGTGCGGTCACTGAGGTGCTGATCGACTGGATCCGCGAGGCTCGTCTCCAGCTCAGGAAGAGCTTCGGCTCGGACTTTCCTGTTCTGCGTCTGCACTCTGACAGAGGCGGAGAGTTCTCTTCTCGCCTTCTGCGAGACTACTGTCGTGCACGGGGGATCCGCCAGACCTTCACGCTTCCGGACTCACCACAGCAAAATGGGATTGCTGAGCGCCGCATTGGCATGGTCATGGATGTCGCTCGTACGTCCATGATGCATGCGGCTGCCCCCCATTTTCTGTGGCCGTTTGCAGTGAGGTACGCGGCGCATCAGCTCAACCTTCACCCCCCGGTCTCTCGGCCTGCGATGTCCCCAGCCTTACTGTGGACGGGGAAGGTTGGCGATGCGTCTGTGTTCCGTGTCTGGGGATCTCGGGCGTTTGTCCGCGACTTGTCTGCGGACAAGCTGTCCCCTCGTGCTGCTCCCTGTGTCTTCCTTGGCTTCCCCACTGACGCCCCAGGGTGGCAGTTTTACCACCCCTCCTCTCGTCGTGTTCTGTCCTCCCAGGACGTCACGTTCGACGAGTCAGTCCCCTTCTACCGTCTCTTCCCCTACCGCACTCCTTCCCTCCCCCCTCCCCCGGACTTCCTTGTGCCGGTTCCCCCCCCGGTAGACCCCCTCCCCCCTCAGGTTCCTGCCCCCTCAGGTGTGTCCCAGGTAGACGCCGTTGACCCGGTCGAGGTTACTGGTGACTCTGGTGCTGCTGCGGGTGCTGAGCCTGGGGGTGCTGACTCTGGGGGTGCTGTGCGCGGGGGTGCTGAGCCTGGGGGTGCTACTGCTGGGGGTGCTGGGCCTGAGGGTGCTACTGCGGTGGGTGCGGAGCCTGGGGGTGCTGAGCCGGGGGGTGCTGTGCCTGGAGGTGCTGGGTCTGGGGGTGCTGGGTCGGGAGCTGCTGAGCCTGGGGGTGCTGAGCTGGGAGCTGCTGAGCCTGGGGGTGCTGCGTCTGGAGCTGCTGAGCCTGGGGTTTCTCCTGCTGCTGCGTCTCGCCGGGAGCCCCTCTCTCCACAGGAGCTGCGCGAGTGGTTCGCTCGCCGCTGGAGGCGTGCTGCTGAGTCTGGAGGTGCTGCTGGAGCTGGAGCTGGAGCTTCTTCGACCGTCGAGGGTGCGGGTGCTGCCGGTCCCGGAGCTGCTGGACCTGCGGGTCCTCCTGGAGCTGGAGCTGCTGAGGGCGTTCGTGCTGAGCCTGCTGCTGTTGGTCCTGCCGCTGGAGCTGTGGGTGGCGCTGGTGCTGTCGCTGAGGGTGCTGGTGCTGTCCCTGCTGAGTCTGGAGCTGCCGCGCGGCCTCGGCCGTACTTCGTTCCGCTCCTGCAGCAGGTTCTTGGTCTTTCTCCTCCAGTAGAGTGTCCACCGCCTGTCCAGTCGCAGTCCCTACTGGAGCCTTCCTCTCCACTGCCTGCTCCCTCTCCTTACACTGGTCCTACTGGAGGTCTTGCTGAGCGTCGTGAGCCTGCGTCTCGTCCCGCGTCGCCTGTTCGTGCTGCTCGCGCTAGTGGTCGCGGTTCGCGTCAGCGTCCTCCTCCTGTCCCTGGCACGCACCGGATGTCTCTGCGTCCGTCCACTGCTCCTCTGCGTGCCCCTTTGCCTTCTCCTCCTGAGTCCTCTCTTCCTGCGCTTGCCGACCCTGAGTCGGACTCTCTTCGCGCTGCAAGTCCTACTGTCACGCGTCTGCTTGCTACTGTCGTCACTGACCCCTCTTTTGAGTCCACTGCTGCGTCTGCTCTAGTCGCTGAGCTCGTTGACTTTGCTGCTCGCTATCGTCTCGACTACGCTGCTAGTCTTGTTGCTGAGTCTGCGTCTGTCTGTCCTCCGTCCGTCGGGGGTGAGTGTGCTCTTGGCACGGACGTCCTAGAGGACAGGCAGGAGGAGTTACAGTGTCTAGCGGCTGCTTCACCTCATCTCGCGTCTGTACTGCTTGCCCCTGAGGGAGACCCGGATGCACTAGACATCCCGACTCCGCGTTCTTACGCGGAGGCCGTAGAGGGTCCCTACTCCTCTTAGTGGCAGGCAGCTATGGATGCAGAGATGGCTTCCTGGAAGTCCACAGGCACCTACGTTGACGCGGTTCCCCCTCCTGGGGCGAACATCGTCAGTGGCATGTGGATCTTCAGGGTGAAGCGGCCGCCGGGCTCTCCACCTGTCTTCAAGGCACGGTACGTTGCTCGTGGCTTCAGTCAGCGGCAGGGAGTTGACTACTTTCAGACCTTCTCTCCCACCCCGAAGATGACTACTCTTCGGGTGCTGCTGCACATAGCTGCTCAGCGCGACTACGAGCTTCACTCTCTCGACTTCAGCACTGCGTTCTTGCAGGGTAGCCTGCACGAGGAGATCTGGCTTCGCCGTCCACCTGGCTTCACTGGGACTTTCCCTCCTGGCACCCAGTGGAGCCTCCGACGGCCAGTCTACGGTCTCCGCCAGGCACCGCGTGAGTGGCACGACACACTGAGGACTACGCTTGCGGCTCTTGGGTTTGCTCCTTCTACTGCTGACCCGTCGCTGTTTCTTCGCACCGACACTTCCCTGCCGCCGTTCTACATCCTCGTGTACGTCGACGACTTGGTCTTTGCCACAGCGGACACTGCTGGACTCGCCTACGTGAAGTCCGAGCTGCTGAAGAGACACACGTGCACAGACCTGGGTGAACTGCGCAGCTACCTTGGCTTGCAGATCACTCGGGACAGAGCACGCCGCACCATTACCTTGACTCAGTCACACATGGTGCAGCAGGTCCTTCAGCGCTTCGGCTTCACGTACTCCTCGCCTCAGGCCACTCCTCTGCCTACTCGCCACTCACTCTCAGCTCTGCCTTCGGATGAGTCCGTAGAGTCGAGTGGTCCGTATGCAGAGCTTGTTGGCTGCCTCATGTACCTGATGACCTGCACACGACCTGACCTTGCATACCCTCTGAGCATTCTTGCACGCTATGTTGCTCCTGGGAGACACAGACCGGAGCACATGGCTGCAGCGAAGAGGGTATTGCGCTACCTGTGCAGTACGTCGGGCATGGGGCTAGTGCTTGGAGGGCGGAGTCCAGTGGTCCTTACCGGCCACGCGGACGCTTCTTGGGCTGACGACCAGGCTACGCAGCGGTCGTCACAGGGTTACACCTTCAGCCTTGGTTCCGGCTCTGTCTCGTGGCGGTCTACTCGCTCGTCTTCGGTTCTTGGCTCCAGTTGTGAGGCTGAGATCTACGCCGGGGCCATGGCTGCACAGGAGCTTCGCTGGCTCACCTACCTGCTGACTGACCTTGGAGAGCCGCCTCGTTCTCCTCCAGTGCTGTACGTAGACAACAAGGCTATGCTGGCCTTGTGTCGAGAGCAGCGCTTGGAGCACAGAACGAAGCACATTGCTCTCCGCTACTTCCTTGCTCGTGAGCTGCAGCAGCGTGGTCAGTTGCGACTTGCGTACGTGGCCTCTGAGGCCAACACTGGTGATGTGTTCACCAAGGCACTCGCGCCTTGTGACCATCAGCGCTTTTGCACCCAGCTGGGTCTTGTGCCTGTCTTGCCTCACTTGCTCTCCTCTTGACTTCACTTGTACTGTGACATATATATATGCCTGCTCTTGTTTGTCTAGTTTTATATATATGTCTGTACTCCTGCATGTGAACTGGCCTCTGGCCCTACTCTTGTGCTCGGACTGTGTGGTGACTTTGTGATCCACCCTGAGCTTGCTTTGCTTTGCTTGACTGGTCTTGTGACCCCTTGTTCTCCCCCACTTTGCCTATGGGGGTGTGTCAGATTTATATGACATAGTTGCTGTAGGCTATAGTGGGGTAGCACATATGGGGTACAGGGTTTCTAGGGTTGTATTTGTACCCAATCTTTCCTTAGTCATTTCATTCCTGTTTTCTTTACTTCACAGTAGAGTGACCATTGACCACCTACGAAGTGCAACAATCTAGTAAAAAAAGAACCAAGTTACTCAATAATATGTCTTTTCCCACTCTTGTCTGCATACACAGCAGCAAAAAAGCAGGACTTGTGGGTCCCTCCCTACACCTGGTGCTGGGGACCTGTACACAATGAGCAGGAAAAAACAGAGTGCAGGGGAGACATTGAGCAGGGGGGAATAGAGGAGGGGGGAATAGAGGAGGGGGGAATAGAGCAGGGGGGAATAGAGCAGGGGGGAATAGAGGAGGGGGGAATAGAGCAGGGGGGAACAGGGCAGGGGGGAATAGAGGAGGGGGGAATAGAGCAGGGGGGAATATAGCAGGGGGGAACAGAGCAGGGGGGAATAGAGCAGGGGGGAATATAGCAGGGGGGAATAGAGCAAGGGGGAATAGAGCAGGGGGGAATATAGCAGGGGGAATAGAGCAGGGGGAGAATAGAGCAGGGGGGAATAGAGCAGGGGGGAATAGAGCAGGGGGGAATAGAGCGGGGGGGAATAGAGCAGGGGGGAACAGAACAGGGGGGATTAGAGTGAGGAGGAGAGAGTGAGCAGGGTGGAACAGAGCAGGGGGAATAGAGCAGGGGGGAATAGAGTGAGGAGGAGAGAGTGAGCAGGGGGAAACAGAGTGAGGAAGGGGGGGCAGAGTGAGAAAGGGGGAAGAGAGTGAGCAGAGGGAAAGAGAGTGAGCAGGGGGAATGCGAGTGAGCAGGGGGAAAGCGAGGTCGACGGGAGGGGGAGAGCGAGGGCGACGGGAGGGGGAAAGCGATGGAAACGGGAGGGGGAAAAGCACGGAAGGGGATGGGGGGAAGCAGGGAGGGGGATGGGGGAAAGCAGGGAAGGGGACATGGGGGAGCAGGGAAGGGGATGGGGGAAAGCAGGGAGGGGGATGGGGGGAAGCAAGGAAGGGGATGGGGGGAAGCAGGGAACGGGATGGGGGGAAGCAGGGAGGAGGATGGGGGGGAAGCAGGGAAGGGGATGGGGGGGAACAGGGAAGGGGATGGGGGGAAGCAGGGAGGGGTATGGGGGGAAGCAGAGAGGGGGATGGGGGGAAGCAGGGAGGGGAATGGGGGGAAGCAGGGAGGGGGATGGGGGGAAGCAGGGACGGAGATGGGGGGAAGAAGGGAAGGAGATGGGGGGAAGCAGGGAAGGGGATTGGGGGAAACAGGGCAGGGGACATGGGGAAGCAGGGCAGGGGATGAGGGAAGCAGGGAAGGGAATGGGGGGGAGCAGGGAAGGGGATGGGGGGGAGCAGGGAAGGGGATGGGGGGAAGCAGGGAGGGGTATGGGGGGAAGCAGGGATGGAGATGGGGGGGAGCAGGGAAGGGGATGGGGGAAAGCAGGGAAGGGGATGGGGGGAAGCAGGGAAGGGGATGGGGGGAAGCAGGGAAGGGGTATGGGGGGAAGCAGGGAGGGGGATGGGGGGAAGCAGGGACGGAGATGGGGGGAAGAAGGGAAGGAGATGGGGGGAAGCAGGGAAGGGGATGGGGGGAAGCAGGGCTGGGGATACGGGGAAAGAATGAAGAGGATGGGGGGAAGCAGGGCAGGGGATGGGGGGAAGCAGGGAAGGGGTATAAGTTGGGGGAAGGAAGGCGATTATTGGAGGGAGGGAAAAGAGGGAGTAGGGAGAGAAAAGGGAGGGTGACAAGTGTGCGAGATGGGAAGGGAGACGGGAGGGAAGGCGAGGGCGACGGGGAAAGCGAGGGCGACGGGAAGGGAGGGCGACGGGAAGGGAGGGCGACGGGAAGGGAGGGCGACGGGAAGGGAGGGCGACGGGAAGGGAGGGCGACGGGAAGAAGCGCGGGCGACGGGAAGGGAAGGCGACGGGAAGAGAGGGCGACGGGAAGAAGCGCGGGCGACGGGAAGGGAGGGTGACGGGAAGGGAGGGCGACGGGAAGGGAGGGCGACGGGAACAAGGGTGGGCGACGGACGGAAGGCAGGGCGACGAGGGGGAAAGACGGGCGACGGGCGGAAGGGAGAGCGACGGCGGAAGGGAGAGCAACAGTCGGAAGGGATATACTTGACCCTCGACCGTGCGACCGTCTAGATGCGCAACCCGGGTTAGACGCCGGGGGGGTGGATGGAATTGTGACGTGCAGGCACGTGTTGGCGTCGCGCGAGTAACTATATCCGGTTGGGTGCGCACCGCACACACATGTGAGCTCTCTAGTTATTGTATAAATGGGACATCTCCGACTGGTTTTATGATTGGCTGTTCGTATTTGTCACCAAATAGGCTGCTGTACTGATACACATGATGCCCAACCAGTGCACGCGAATTTGACCTGCACCGGATGGAAACGCTGCACCCGAGGTCTTTTCCCCAGCCTGTTGCACCCACGATACAAGCGCGCCGCGTAGTTATGGACCAATAGTAACAAACAGACCGAAGTCAAACTGAAGAGACTGAATTGGGGGTCTAATGTAAAATTCATAAAAAAAATAGGGGGGGTCTTGTCAACGGCACAAGATTGTTTAGTACCCGGGTCTTATTAAATTTGCTGCGATGAGAAATTGATTGTGACCTAGGATCTACTCAGGAAGGTTCGCACGCAGAGAAGTGATGTTGGTGGGCCCTTGACCTCAATAGCAGAGTGAATGTAAAATGCTTTGAGATGATTTAAAACATGCAAATACAGCAAATATAAATATGAGTACAGGGGAGATGAAACGACCTAGCTAGCCATGTACTCTAAGGGGTACATTCCCTTATTCAAATACATTCCCAACCGTGCGGCGCGAACAGTTACGAAACTGTTCCCGCCGAAACCATCCTGCCTGCAGCTGCCTGATGCTGTCTGCTCCGGCGGTCCAGATGCGTCCCAACTGTCTGACACTTCGAGTCGATTCCAACCGTCTGACGCTTCGCGTTCATTCGCGATACGGCGTGCTTCTCTTTGATGCGGTGAGGAGTGCACAGTAATATTCAAGTACCGTATTACTATTCGTAACAAAATTGATATAATTTTTAAAGGTGTAATAGAATGCCTCATTGATGAGGATGCTTGACATTCCTTTTCCCTGTTGTTTGGGCAGCACATGTGCGACTTCTGCGATGTCAAACCGAAATCAAACCGTGAATAGGTTGCAGTGGTGTCAAGCTTGTCTTGCTAGTGAAGCACTTGAAAAGACATCTTATTCCCATTGTGAACTAGTGACAACCATAAGGAAGGGGGTCTAGTATTGTTTACCCCTCTAGGGGGGGGTATAGTGAAAACCTGCCAAAATAAAAGACCCACCCCCGTAATACAGACCCGGGGGTCTTGTATTCCGGGGGGTCTACTATCCGGGAGCTTACGGTAATATTAATTTGTCAGTAAGGTCTGGTTGGCTTTGTGTTTCGGCAGGTTGATTGATTTCGAAATCTGATCTTCCGGATGTAGCCTTCACCATATCGAACTGGGCATGTGAACTGTAGGCCCCATCCCTTAGCATCCTTCAATTGGGAACCGGAACGTTGAAGTGGACGATGGCTTGAATAACTGGTAACTGCGTGCTAATGTTGTCTCAATCTTGAGGGCATGCTGCCTGTGAATTTGTCATCGTCCTGTCATGTTTTGTATCCGCAGCTCCAGCATGCTGTGCTGCAAGAGTCAAAACAACATATGGTATTATAAGTTTTCGTGACTGTCCCAACTGGTTAGATGAAACTTGAACAGCACCACATACCTGATGAAAACCATCATGATATCTGCCCTCAAACAGAGGCACATAGGCTTACTCATCCAGGACAGATGATACGCATTGCCACACAGGAAAAATGGGATCAGCCTGCACAGTGCAACAACACGTAAGGTCAGAACGTGCTGCAAAAAATACGTGCTAGACACAGACAAAGGTCAGTTTCTCATACCATTAGGTCAGTAGGATTAGAAGTGGTCGTTAATTGGTCAGGGAGCACCAGCATCCGTTAGTCAGAAGCCATCATGCACCAACAGAGTCAGGAGAACCAGATCGCCAAAACATGATGCTCATAGTCGGAGCCGCTAGAAGCTCAAGGGGTTTCGAAATGAAGAGCTCCATGGGTGTAGAGTCCAACTACTAAGCTTCACAATGAAGTACTGGGGCCCGTAGTCACCATTCGCGTCCAAAAGCACCAACCAACCACACTTACCATGCTGTCCACCACGTACACCCCCCAAGCGCCCCAACCCCTTGCCCCACCCCAAGGTGCACGAGATGAAGGATGAAGAAATCATCATTCCATAAAAAGAATTACATAGTCAAAATTCTCCAGGACTACATCCATACTCGATAGGATCCTGGACATCTAAGGTGAATCGGTGAAACGCGTTCTGTGATGACACAGAAAACGGGTAATGTGGGGGAGTAGACCACTAAATGACGCAATATAAAAGACCTCAAACCTTCAGGACCAACCTTGAGTGTGCTAGCCTCAGCTGCCGCGTTCTGTTTCACTATCGCCGAGTTTTAGCTCGCTTCAGTCCCACATCGCCAAAGGGCAATGGGGAACCTGAGAACAAGCTGTGAGCTCCCAGGTCATCCCGAAGGGTTCCATTCAAAATGGCTAATTCACGAAGTTGTGCACGTTTGACCACATCATGAGTTTCGTCCTGAAACAAGGGAAAGGAATCTTGAATTACTCACCTGGTTCCACTGATGCTAACAAATGCTGAAAAGTTCACGAGCATAATCACTCACCACAGGCCTGAGTAGTTCTTGAAGAATTTCGCACGCTTGAGCAAGCTGCGCGTCAACAACATTCGCAGGAAGCTCCGCTTCCACAATAACATGCAGAGGCTCGTTCAGATGTTCAAATCCAGGCTTGTCTCGCATCTTCTCCTCCTGCGTCGGATAAGCGTAAAAGGCAACAGTAGAAACACTTACACACAGCGTCCAACGCTCGCAAACAAGACAGCCTTAGAAAACGTTCATACCTTGCCAGCGTCCTTTATCGACCCACGTCCGCGAATGAGGACACGACAGCCTGTCTGCGCTTCGACTCGTTTCAGCGAGTTCCCTCGTGGTCCTAGGATTCTTCCGACAAAGTTAAATGTAGGGTACTTATCCACCGGAACCTCCAAACGGCTCGTCTTCTTTACAATCGGAGCAGCGCCAGGCTGAGCCGTCCAGCCTACGAGGGTCCCGGAAGCTGACGGTTGGCTCGTTGGTTGCATCAAGAAGAGAGAAGACGATGGCTGCATATCGAGCATGGAAAGCCAAGGCTCAGCGTCAGCCGTAAGAATCTATCGCCTTGTAACGAAGTTGCTAAATAACCAAACTTACCCCAACCTCGGATGGCATCGGAGCCCATGTTCCGGAATCAAATGGCGATCCACTAGACGAAGGTCGGATCTGCTGAGACTGATGAGAGATATGGCCTTGATGAGATGCATGAGACTGATGAGGTGGATGCGGAGGATGAGAGAGTGCCTGATGCGATAAATGTTGGTGAGTTATCTGCTGATGAGACGAATGTGGCTGATGTGACATTGGAGGCGAGTGCTCGATTGAATCATGGTCCATAAACACTTGCGCGCCAACGAGTGATGTGACTCGAGCAATTTCTGCAGGTCCCACAAGTCGTTAAGTAAGCATCAAACTCGCCAAGCCAAACGGAATCCGCATTCACTACGTGTTCTTCGTCCTACCTTGATTCATCAGGCGGCTACATATCGGCAGCACTTGCATAAAAGGGCTAAGTTTCTGCCTCTCGGACAAGAGCTCCGACAAATACCTGAGAGGGAGAAACTACGCGTGTCAGATCCACGTCTCAACCATATGATGGATAAAACGAAGAAAACACTAGATTTAGCCTCAAACTGAGGCAGACGAAGTGTCTTGAAACCCTTACGAATCATGGTCGCTAAGCGCAGGTGACGACCCTCGACTAACTTGCGGCGAGACAGGAGCTGATGCATAGCCAGTCAAAAATCGACCACTCATGGTCGGTCAATATATTCGCAATTACGAGCCTCACGGAAGACTTTACTCAGCGATGAGCTTTCTAATCTGCTGAGTCTCAGCTTTAGTGAAGTTATCTCAAGCACGGATTCCCAGTTTCAGCACGTGTGCAAAGCTATCGTAGCGCTTGGAAGTCTTGTGAGTAGGAGGTTCTGAATGAGAAACCGCCATGGCAAAGAAATGAGGAGCCATGACAAGGTCACGTCAATGTCTCACCAAACTATGGTGTGGTATGGAAAGAAGACGAGCCAACTTGGACACCAGGGACGCCTGTGGCACCAGACCAGCGTTCAGCGGCGGAAGAACCCACAGCCTCTCCGAGCCTAGATTCGTCGCAGAGACGGCCTGGTTGGAGATCAGACTCCGTCGCACGGGCTGCCCAACGTCCGATTCAGAGGGTTCATGCCCGTGTATCCGTGGCGTCAACGCCAGGCAACCACACGGAAGTGGCTAGTGCGAAAGTGCACGACTTGGGAAGGCTAGGCACGTCCAATCGCCGTTGCCGACAGATATACTCGGTTGAAGGAACGACGGAGGGGTGCCTCCCACTTGCAGAAGGCATTACGAAGCAAATTACTTGTCTACACGAGTTATAAACAGCTTTAGGTTATTGATTTATTCATCCATAGCTAGAAATCATGTGCGGTATATGTAGAAAAATCTATGAATAAACTTTCACACTTGAATTCAAACACAAGACAAAGGCAGTTGTGGCAATTGAATGGGAGGATCAGATTCTCAGCATAGTCACTAGGATAAGGTAATATAGACACCAGGATTACAATTTGTTTTAACATAGACTGTACGAATAATGAACACATAATGAGCACTGTAGCTGTTTTGTCTCTCTCAACCAGCCGACACCCTGACCAGACCGTAGGAGTAGGTCAGGTGGTACGAGTAACGAAAGATTCTTCTTGCCCTCAAAACCAGCAAATTTTTGCCACACAGGCTCGTCACCGTGAGGTTGTTCAGGTCATTTTGGAAGCCGCTCTGCCGAAGCTCAGCCGCCAATACCTGGAGCCGGAGCGAACCGTCAGGTGGCCCTGACTTGGCTCGGCCTCAGGTAAGGAGAAATCTGGAAGTGCTTCGGAACCAGCTTACAGGCTCGAGGTTTCCGTTTTGTCTGGTTCGGCTCCAGTTTTACCAAACTGGAGATTCGGGGGTTCCATCCAATCAGTTCCATAGTTCCCTCCTGGGGCCGTACACTATTCTACAGTAGTTGGCGGGACAGGACTGCCCCCGATATTTTTGCTTCGCAAGTACACTGAGTCTATACTCTGAACTCTAGAGGTTTCGTGTAGGCGTTTTCTCTGCATCACACTCTCCACGTTCGGATTTTCATAACCACACGCAGCGAGGCGCCATACTTCCGTTCAACGTACTGCGCAGCTTGGGTCGCGGGGGGGATCGTTGTCTAAGCGTCTGGCAAACCCTTGTAGAAAAGAGGATTACGAGCGAAGGCGTTGGGAGGTGGTGGTGGAAGGGAAGGAGGGCCCCACGCGGGCATTCCTCCTTCAATGGCTCGTAGTAGCTCCGAGTCGGCACACCGAAATGGCGGCTCGCGAAGCGTTTCCCTGCCGCGTGCAATGCTCTCACATGCCCAGCTCGTTAGCATGAATTCGTTTGTCCTCGGAGTCTTCGCGGTTCTCGCGACCCTTGTTCCACTGACTGCTGCTCGCTCGATCGCTCTAGGAGACTGTGAGTAGAACGAGAGCTCGTTTCTTACTCTCCCTACTTCACCGCATCTCCGAGGTATGGCATTTTTCGGTCTCCGTACGATCCGCTTTCGCGTTTTCACCTTAAAGTTTGCACGCGTAGGGAGGGATCAAACTGCACTGCCACAAGCCCAGCTTTTTCTGATCTCTGAATCTGCGATGCCGCAAACCCCATCCCATATCGCGTATTCGCGTTTTTCGGGGTGTTTTTAGTCGACTGTAGAATAGTGGTACGGTGCTACACTACATCTGAGGAAACAGCAAGTGGAGGGGAGACTACCCTACATCTTTATAAATCTGCGTCGTGTATCCGTCAGAAGGTCTTGCATCTCTCAGTCGCATTCTGGCCTCCCGGATGCGGCACCTCTCGTTTCCCAATGCCGCTCTCGCGCCAATGCACCCTCTCTCCCATCTCTTGTTCATCAGGGCAAGCGCTGCTGGGCTGTGGGAAGAGCTGAATCTCACCAGCCCACAGCGCAGCCCCGAGGTGTACAATTGGCGGTGAAGGGAAGGAACAACTCCAGTGTCGCCTCTATCAACGTCCCACCTTTACCCGCACATCTTCTCCATTTGCCACAAGGGCAAGCGCTGCTGCGGCTGAAAGAGGAGCTGGATTTCACCAACCCGCAGCGCAGCCCCTAGATGCATTGGCAACGGTCACGGGAAGGAACAACTGTAGTAGTGTCCCCCATTACACATATTCCGCCTTTACTTTTCCTCCCACGCCCCTCTCGTTTCCCCACCAGGGCAAGCGCTCCTGCGGCTGAGAGAGGATTTGAACTTCACCAACGCGCAGCGCAGCCCCAAGGTGTACTGGCGGTCAAGGGAGAACTGCAACGTGGTGTTCGGCGTCTCATGCAACGACCAAGGCCGCGTCGTCACGCTGTGAGTGCCCCGTCATGGTAATCTGTCTCTTTCGTAGGTGCCTCAGAAACCAGCCCCACAAGGTGTACTGGCGGTAGAGGGAAGAACTGCAACGTCGTCTTCGGCGTCTCGTGCAACGACCAAGGCCGCGTCGTCACGCTGTGAGTGAGCCGTCGCCGTTGTCAAAGGCCCTGGCCTTCCGTCTAATAGGTAAGTAGGTTCTACCACGTCTTGACAGATCTGCTTGCTGTTTGCTCTCCTCTCCCTAGCCTTTGGCGCACAGTCTATCGCTTTCACTACCTTTCGAGACCCTTGTACACCCCCGCCTTTCTTCTCTTCGCGTTTCATGACGTTGCGATGGAATGACGTGGTATGGCATGGCATGACGTGGCATGGCATGGCATGACATGGCATGGCATGGCATGGCATGACGTGGCCTGGGACGGCATTGCATCGCATGGCCTTTCTCTTCTCAGGTCCTTGTGGGGAGTGACAGGGCCTCTGCCCGACTCGATTGCCAACCTCACTGCACTCACATCGCTGTAAGCACCTCCTTGAATTCCTCACTTCATTATAAGCACACTCTCTCTGACGCAATTGAATGTGTGTATATGCACACTGCTTGAAGCCCTCACCTCGTGATAAACAAGCAGGCGAGCATGGGGTTGAACCACTGAAACTTGAATGCACACAATCAAACACACTCGAAGGCACACATTCAATCAGCATGCTCTTGTGGTAGCCATTGCATCGCATTGCACCATTAAGTAGCATCTCACAGCCAGGCCACCCTTGGACTAAGCAATTTTCAAGCAGAAGCAGCAATCTGTCTCGCATAACTCACCACCACCTGCTGCTTTCATACTTTTGCCTGCCCAGGTGGGTGGGCAACAATGTGACCAACATACCGAGTTGACTTTTGAGTCGACTCAAAAGTCAACTGGGTGGGCAACAATGTGACCAGCATACCTGCCTCGATTTCCCTGCTCAAGGTGACTTTTGAGTCGACTCAGAAGTCACCTCAAAAGCCACCTCTGTCTCTCTGCTGCTTTCATACCTGTGCTGTGCGTGCACAGGTGGGTGGGCAACAACGTCACCAGCATACCAGCCTCGATTTCCCTGCTCAACTCAACACTCGCCGCACTGTATGCAACCCTTGTTAAAAAGTAGCGTATACACGTTACATGCGTCTGACTGTATGCGCAGTATCCTTGGGATCAACTCATGTGGTCCTTTGCCATGAAGCAATTTTCTCTTCCGTGAATACTCGCTTTTCCTTGAAAGTGCTTTTCCTCTCTACTTTCCTCCCTGAGGCAGCTTTTTGGGCGGCAATGCTATCAGTGGGAGCTTCCCAGCTGCCATTACCAAGCTCACTTCTTTGAAGGACCTGTGAGTCTCGACTCCCTTGCTCTGTGGCAAGGAAGGGAAGGGATGTGAGACGGGAGGCAGGCGGGACACACATGAGCGCAGTGCAGCTTCCCAGCTGCCATCACCAAGCTCACTTCTTTGAAGGACCTGTGAGTCTCGACTCCCTTGCTCTGTGGCAAGGAAGGGAAGGGATGTGAGACGGGAGGCAGGCGGGACACACATGAGCGCAGTGCAGCTTCCCAGCTGCCATCACCAAGCTCACTTCTTTGAAGGACCTGTGAGTCTCGACTCCCTTGCTCTGTGGCAAGGAAGGGAAGGGATGTGAGACGGGAGGCAGGCGGGACACACATGAGCGCAGTGCAGCTTCCCAGCTGCCATCACCAAGCTCACTTCTTTGAAGGACCTGTGAGTCTCGACTCCCTTGCTCTGTGGCAAGGAAGGGAAGGGATGTGAGACGGGAGGCAGGCGGGACACACATGAGCGCAGTGCAGCTTCCCAGCTGCCATCACCAAGCTCACTTCTTTGAAGGACCTGTGAGTCTCGACTCCCTTGCTCTGTGGCAAGAAAGGGAAGGGATGTGAGACGGGAGGCAGGCGGGACACACATGAGCGCAGTGCAGCTTCCCAGCTGCCATCACCGAGCTCACTTCTTTGAAGGACCTGTGAGTCTCGACTCCCTTGCTCTGTGGCAAGGAAGGGAAGGGATGTGAGACGGGAGGCAGGCGGGACACACATGAGCGCAGTGCAGCTTCCCAGCTGCCATCACCAAGCTCACTTCTTTGAAGGACCAGTGAGTCTCGACTCCCTTGCTCTGTGGCAAGGAAGGGAAGGGATGTGAGACGGGAGGCAGGCGGGACACACATGAGCGCAGTGCAGCTTCCCAGCTGCCATTACCAAGCTCACTTCTTTGAAGGACCTGTGAGTCTCGACTCCCTTGCTCTGTGTCAAGGAAGGGAAGGGATGTGAGACAGGAGGCAGGCGGGACACACATGAGCGCAGTGCAGCTTCCCAGCTGCCATCACCAAGCTCACTTCTTTGAAGGACCTGTGAGTCTCGACTCCCTTGCTCTGTGGCAAGGAAGGGAAGGGATGTGAGACGGGAGGCAGGCGGGACACACATGAGCGCAGTGCAGCTTCCCAGCTGCCATCACCAAGCTCACTTCTTTGAAGGACCTGTGAGTCTCGACTCCCTTGCTCTGTGACAAGGAAGGGAAGGGATGTGAGACGGGAGGCAGGCGGGACACACATGAGCGCAGTGCAGCTTCCCAGCTGCCATCACCAAGCTCACTTCTTTGAAGGACCTGTGAGTCTCGACTCCCTTGCTCTGTGGCAAGAAAGGGAAGGGATGTGAGACGGGAGGCAGGCGGGACACACATGAGCGCAGTGCAGCTTCCCAGCTGCCATCACCGAGCTCACTTCTTTGAAGGACCTGTGAGTCTCGACTCCCTTGCTCTGTGGCAAGGAAGGGAAGGGATGTGAGACGGGAGGCAGGCGGGACACACATGAGCGCAGTGCAGCTTCCCAGCTGCCATCACCAAGCTCACTTCTTTGAAGGACCAGTGAGTCTCGACTCCCTTGCTCTGTGGCAAGGAAGGGAAGGGATGTGAGACGGGAGGCAGGCGGGACACACATGAGCGCAGTGCAGCTTCCCAGCTGCCATTACCAAGCTCACTTCTTTGAAGGACCTGTGAGTCTCGACTCCCTTGCTCTGTGTCAAGGAAGGGAAGGGATGTGAGACAGGAGGCAGGCGGGACACACATGAGCGCAGTGCAGCTTCCCAGCTGCCATCACCAAGCTCACTTCTTTGAAGGACCTGTGAGTCTCGACTCCCTTGCTCTGTGGCAAGGAAGGGAAGGGATGTGAGACGGGAGGCAGGCGGGACACACATGAGCGCAGTGCAGCTTCCCAGCTGCCATCACCAAGCTCACTTCTTTGAAGGACCTGTGAGTCTCGACTCCCTTGCTCTGTGGCAAGGAAGGGAAGGGATGTGAGACGGGAGGCAGGCGGGACACACATGAGCGCAGTGCAGCTTCCCAGCTGCCATCACCAAGCTCACTTCTTTGAAGGACCTGTGAGTCTCGACTCCCTTGCTCTGTGGCAAGAAAGGGAAGGGATGTGAGACGGGAGGCAGGCGGGACACACATGAGCGCAGTGCAGCTTCCCAGCTGCCATCACCGAGCTCACTTCTTTGAAGGACCTGTGAGTCTCGACTCCCTTGCTCTGTGGCAAGGAAGGGAAGGGATGTGAGACGGGAGGCAGGCGGGACACACATGAGCGCAGTGCAGCTTCCCAGCTGCCATCACCAAGCTCACTTCTTTGAAGGACCAGTGAGTCTCGACTCCCTTGCTCTGTGGCAAGGAAGGGAAGGGATGTGAGACGGGAGGCAGGCGGGACACACATGAGCGCAGTGCAGCTTCCCAGCTGCCATTACCAAGCTCACTTCTTTGAAGGACCTGTGAGTCTCGACTCCCTTGCTCTGTGTCAAGGAAGGGAAGGGATGTGAGACAGGAGGCAGGCGGGACACACATGAGCGCAGTGCAGCTTCCCAGCTGCCATCACCAAGCTCACTTCTTTGAAGGACCTGTGAGTGGAGGGCAGGTAGTGGCATAGCATGGCATGGCATGACATGAGTTGTTTGTACGAGGAATCCCGACTCTCGTTTATGTGTTCCCCGATTGGCCCCTTCCCTCAACAACAAGCATGCTATGCCAGCCAACCAACCAAAAGCCATCCCCGTCTCCTTCCCTTCCCCCTGCCCCCCCCATCCATCCAATTGCTCCTTCTTCCAACAACACGCACGCTAAGCCAACTGAAATGAGAGCCATTACCCTCTCCCTCCAACCCTACTCCACCCATCCATGTGATGCTTCCCAGGAGTCTGGCTGACAATGACCTATCAGGCCCGCTGCCCCCAGGGATTGGCAAGCTGCCGCAGCTGCAGATGCTGTGAGTGCCCCGTGTAGGAGCTGACCTTTGAGTCGATTCAGAAGTTGCTTCCCAGGAGTCTGGTTGACAATGACCTATCAGGCCCGCTGCCCCCAGGGATTGGCAAGCTGCCGCAGCTGCAGATGCTGTGAGTGCCCCGTGTAGGAGCTGACCTTTGAGTCGATTCAGAAGTTGCTTCCCAGGAGTCTGGCTGACAATGACCTATCAGGCCCGCTGCCCCCAGGGATTGGCAAGCTGCCGCAGCTGCAGATGCTGTGAGTGCCCCGTGTAGGAGCTGACCTTTGAGTTGATTCAGAAGTTGCTTCCCAGGAGTCTGGCTGACAATGACCTATCAGGCCCGCTGCCCCCAGGGATTGGCAAGCTGCCGCAGCTGCAGATGCTGTGAGTGCCCCGTGTAGGAGCTGACCTTTGAGTCGATTCAGAAGTTGCTTCCCAGGAGTCTGGCTGACAATGACCTATCAGGCCCTCTTCCCCCGGGGATTGGCAAGCTGCCGCAGCTGCAGATGCTGTGAGTGTTCCTTATTTGTAAGATTCCCTACTACTGGTTGTATTTCTAGAAGAAAGAAAGGAGCTAGAAAGGCGTGCTGCAAATGCTGCGAGGGCCCTCAGAAGTGTGTGTTCACCCTCTTGTGCGTGCACACACATGGACACACATGGTCACACATGGTCACACATGGTCACACATGGTCACACATGGTCACACATGGTCACACATGGTCACACATGGACACACATGGTCACACATGGTCACACATGGTCACACATGGACACACATGGTCACACATGGACACACATGTATTCAAGTGGCTAAATCCCCCAACACCCGTGTCCCACAGGCGCTTGGATAGAAATTGTTTGAGACGCCTCAAAACAAATCTTTTATCACGTGGCCATAATGCTCTCTTTCTCCCCCAACACCCCTGTCCCGCAGGCGCTTGGATGGGAACCATCTATTAGGCCCCATCCCCATCCACACTCCCCCCTCTCACACACCCACACGGACACACACACACATTCTGATGGCTCAATCTTAGGAGACTTTTGAGTCAAGTTAATAGTCGCATTAGGATGGCTCAATTTTGACTCTCTTTCTCCCCCAACCAACACCCCTGTCCCACATGCGCTTGGATGGGAACCGTCTATCAGGCCCCATCCCCATCCACACTCCCAACTCACACACACACACACACACGGACACACACACACATTCGGATGGCTCGATCTTTGTCTCTCTTTCCCCCAACACCAGTGTCCCGCAGGCGCTTGGATGGGAATCGTCTATCAGGCCCCATCCCCATCTACACTCCCCCCCCCCCCCCCCCCCCCCCCTCGCCTCTCCCTCACACACACACGGACGCAACATATGCAAGTGGCTGGATCTTGTCTATCTTCCTCCCCCACCCCTGTCCTACAGGCGCTTGGATGGGAACCGTCTATCAGGCCCCATCCCTTCTCTCATCTCCGCGCTCTCTTCCCTCTCCTACCTGTGAGTATCTATCCATGTATTAACCTGCCACTGAAGCTTCACACGGTCTATCACGCCCCATCCCCTCCCTCCACCTCTCACTCTCTGTGTTTTCCGCATGTCGTTTCCTACTTGTGAGTCCTGCCCTAAAAAATCAGCCATGTTTTTTTCAACACCTATCAATCCCCATCCCTCAGGCTGCTCCCTCACATCATTGGCTCCCTTGTCCCCCCTCCCCCCTCTCCCCTGTGGCTCCCTTGTCCCCCAGCTCACTTGCCTCTAACGAGCTCACAGGGGCCATCCCCCCACAGATATCCGCGTTACAAGCCTTGCAGTACATGTGAGTCTTAGGTACTCGTTACAAGGCTCCTCCACCCTACATGCATAGAGCTCATTGCGCCCCTCGCGCAGTTATCCACGCAACAACCTTCTATTCCTCTTTGGCCGCTCAACAATAGACGCACCACCCCCTCAACCTCAACCCATCCCACTCCCTGCTCCTCTCGTCCCCTCTGTCCACCTACACACCCCTTTCAATGATCCGCGTGCTGCGCCCCCCACACAGCGATGCTTTTGAGTCGACTCAAAAGCAGTCCCCTCTGTCCACCTACACACCCCTTTCAATGATCTGCGTGCTGCGCCCCCCACACAGTGATGTGCGCAACAACCTCCTGTCAGGAGCCATCCCCCCGCAGATCGGCAACAACTACAACCTCAACTGGCTGTGAGTGCCGCGCACATCTGTGAGTGAAGTGAAAACCCTTGCGAACTTGGAAAGGAAAGTAAAAAGACTTCTTTCAGGAGCCTTTCACCCCCAGATCGGCAACAACTGCAACCTCAACTGGCTGTGAGTGCCGCGCCCACCTGTGAGTGAAGTGAAACCCCCGTGAACTTGGAAGGGAAAGAAGAGAGAAGGGCCTTCTTACCGGGGCCATCCCCCTTCAGATCGGCAACAACTACAACCTCAACTGGCTGTGAGTGCCGCGCCCACCTGTGAGTGCTCTGGAGAGATGTGATTGCCCCGCACATCTGTCACTGAAACTCACGCACAGCAACTTTTGAGACGTCTCAAAACTTGCACATCTGTGACTGAAACACACGCACAGCAACTCAGACGATTCCTGAGGTGCCTTAAAGAAACCAGCCTTCTGTCACGAGTTTTGAGACGTCTCAATACATTTTTAAGTATCACATGGCTATTCTGTCACGAGTGATTCTTGCCCAGATCGGCAAGTGTTGCAACCTTGACTGGCTGTGAGAGCCCCGCACATCTGTCACTGAAACCCACGCACAGCAACTCAGACGATTCCTGAGGTGCCTTGAAGAAACCAGCCTTCTGTCACGAGTGATTCCTGCCCAGATCGGCAACTGTTGCAACCTTGACTGGCTGTCAACGCTGGGTTCCTTCACACGTCCCCACCCCAACCCTTCCTGTTGTCGTCTACCATGGTTACATGGTTACCACGTGCAGGTACCTGAGCAACAACCGTCTGTCCGGGTCCATCCCTGCTTCCATAGGGCGTCTGGATCGCCTGCGATACATGTGAGTGGGCACAGGTGCTGCTGTCCAGATGCCCATTTGGGTCCCCTCCAGCACGAGAGTGGGCCAAAGTGCCTTGGGAGTAAACTCAATCAAAGGTCATCTGCTTCCATAGGACGTCTGGATCGCCTGCGATACATGTCAGTGGGCACAGGTGCTGCTGCCCTGATGTTATTTCCTGCATTCTCCCCCCACTGCACTGCACAGTGCTCCGATGCTCTTTCCCTTAGGGCGTGTTAAATCGCCGCACCTAAAAATTCGGCCACTAGCCAAATGGCCGAATTGGCGAAAGTAACCCGTTTGCGAAAATTACGAAGACGCTCGCGACCGTCGTTAATTTCGCTAATAAAAAACGAAAATGATGGCCGCTTTGAAAGTCGACTCGTATCCGACACCATGTCGAATCCAATTCGGCCAAGTAATCGACACCGTGAGCGACTGTCACGTACGATTTTTTTTTTTTTTTTTTTTTTTGGTAGGTGAAAGTGCATTATACAACGTACAAAGCAAAAACACCATCGGTCGTAACCAGTGCTAGAGGGCCTAGGTACAAACAATCATACCGTACCCTCGCGGATCTCTCTACGGTGGTTTATAGATCAGATGTCTAAAAACTGCAGCCTGCCCGCTTGAAATTCCAATTGCATTGTTGTCACAATTCAGCTCCGTCAGAATCAGAGGGGAGCAGTTTTGCCACTTGTGCTGTTTCAGGCTTGTTCCAGATGTGTCCTTCCTTGTACGTCTGACACCACTCTTGATTGGAAAAACCTTCTGGCGAGATCTGAATGCCCTCTTGACTGCACCCGCCCTCTTGACTGTCACGTACGATGTCGCACGGTCTCGCAGAACGACTGTTTTTTTTTATCCTGTCCAATCAGAGTTTTCGCCGTCAAATGTGCGACCCCGTCGCACATACGTTCCTACTGTAGCAACTGCAAATTTTACAACTTTTTGAAACCGGCCTGGAATTCAGCCCTCAAACCTGTAAAGTTTGCAAATCTGCAAATAGTGGCTGTAAATGTGACGACACAAAGTTGACCAATCCGTCGACTTTCGCGAAAGAAATGTCGACCAGGTGGTCGACGTAAAACCGGCCAAAAGCAGATTTCACATATTTGCGGGGATTCTACACGCCCTTCAACCCGGGAATGGTAATCACCGAGTTTTCTCAACTTCAGTATGCTCGTCAAACCACTCTCTGACTCCTTCTCGCCATCCCCCACCGCATCACACCATTCTCCACCGCTCTCCACTCCCACCCACCCCCAGGTTCCTTGACGTTAACTTACTCAGCGGGTCCCTCCCTGACTCAATCCCCGCACTCAGTGCACTCGTCTACCTGTGAGTGACAGTGTACCCCTAATAAGCCACACCTGATTTACTTATGGGAAGTCCCAAAAGTCAGAGCACTCAGTGCACTCGTCGTCCTGTGAGTGTACCCTTAAATTACTTGTGAAAAGACTCTCGAGTGCTCACTCCAAGCCATGCGTCACGCACACATCGTCTTAACAACATCCATGTTTGCCTTTTCTCCACAATCCCCCTTCCTCCCCCCCCAGCATTGCAAGCCACAATCTCCTCTCAGACCCCCTCCCCACCCCACTGTGTTTTGACTCGACTCACAACACTCAATTCCTTGCTTGCCCTCTTACTCCCTCCCCACCCCTCACTTCCCCCTTCCTCCCTCCCAGCATCGCAAGCCACAATCTCCTCTCAAGCCTCTTTCCCGCCAACATCGACTCGACTTGACTCACAACGCTCTCTTTCAACTCGACTCACAACACTTCCTCGCCCTTACTTTCCCCCTTTCTCCCCACCTCCCCCACCTCCCTCACCTCCCCCCCCAGCATCGCAAGCCACAATCTCCTCTCAGGCCCACTCCCCGCCAACATCGGCCAACTGCCCCGCCTCGCATTCCTGTAAGTCCCTCCCTCCGCTGAACCCCGTCCCTCCCGTTTGAGTTTTGAGGCGCCTCAAAACTCAACTGAACGCATCCCTGTAAGTCCCTCCCTCCGCTGAACCCCGTCCCTCCCGTTTGAGTTTTGAGGCGCCTCAAAACTCAACTGAACGCATCCCTGTAAGTCCCTCCCTCCGCTGAACCCCGTCCCTCCCGTTTGAGTTTTGAGGCGCCTCAAAACTCAACTGAACGCATCCCTGTAAGTCCCTCCCTCCGCTGAACCCCGTCCCTCCCGTTTGAGTTTTGAGGCGCCTCAAAACTCAACTGAACGCATCCCTGTAAGTCCCTCCCTCCGCTGAACCCCATCCCTCCCGTTTGAGTTTTGAGGCGCCTCAAAACTCAACTGAACGCATCCCTGTAAGTCCCTCCCTCCGCTGAACCCCGTCCCTCCCGGTTCTCAACTTTAACTGGTTTGACTAGAGATGACTTGACTAGAGATGACTTGACTAGAGTTGTCTCAACGTCAGTTGGCTTAAGCTCACACATATGCACACATATGCACACATATGCACACATATGCACACATATGCACACATATGCACACATATGCACACATATGCGAGGCCTTACTTATGTGATCTGGCGGCGTGACTTGTCTTTTCCCTCCATTTCCTTTCCCCTTCCGCACCCCTTCCCTTCATTATGCACTATTCTCCATGAAATCACTGGCAACAGGTTCCTCCGTCAGATAACTTTTCAATGTAGAAACCGCGTGTAATGAGTCTGCTTTTGAGTCGACTCAAAAGCTTCTCCATGAAATCGCTGGCAACAGGTTCCTCCGTCAGATAACTTTTCAATGTAGAAACCGCGTGTAATGAGTCTGCTTTTGAGTCGACTCAAAAGCTTCTCCATGAAATCACTGGCAACAGGTTCCTCCGTCAGATAACTTTTCAATGTAGAAACCGCGTGTAATGAGTCTGCTTTTGAGTCGACTCAAAAGCTTCTCCATGAAATCGCTGGCAACAGCTTCCTCCCTCAGCAACAAGCCCAGTTTTGAGGCACCTCAAAACTAGACCTCAGTATCAAGTCCCTGACCAATCCCTTTGATTCTTCAGAATCCTTGTTGGTTTGTATCTCGGAATTCCTGAAAATGCAGGCCCTTGCCATTGACCAAGGAATCTCCCTCACTTCCATCCTCACAATGTCCTCTTCCCTCCCCCACCCACCCTCCTTCCCACCCACTTCTTTTCCCCTTCCCTTCCTCCCCTTCTCTCCCCCCAACAGGTCTATCAGCAACAACTCCCTTTCCGGCCCCCTCCCGCCCTCCATGAGCCAGCTCAAGCACCTGCAGATCCTGTCAGTGCTGGGGGCGAGTGCTGGGGGCGAGTGCTGGGGGCGACTGCTGGGGGCGAGTGCTGGGGGGCGAGTGCTGGGGGCGAGTGCTGGGGGCGAGTGCTGGGGACGAGTGCTGGGGGCGAGTGCTGGGGGCGAGTGCTGGGGGCGAGTGCTGGGGACGAGTGCTGGGGACGAGTGCTGGGGGCGAGTGCTGGGGGCGAGTGCTGGGGGCGAGTGCTGGGGGCGAGTGCTGGGGGCGAGTGCTGGGGGCGAGTGCTGGGGACGAGTGCTGGGGGCGAGTGCTGGGGGCGAGTGCTGGGGGCGAGTGCTGCAGGTGTGCACTGTCATGACCATGCCCTCCCGCCCTCCATGAGCCAGCTCAAGCACCTGCAGATCCTGTGAGTCCTGCGAGTGGTGCAGTGGGGTCTGGTAGGGTGTATGTATTCAGTGCACTGTGTGCATGTGAGGGTGCGGGAGGTAAGGCATGAACTCTCCGCCCCCTCCCGCCCTCCATGCGCCAACTCAATCACCTGCAGATGCTGTGAGTGCTGGGGGTGGTGGGAATGGTGAGAACGGTGGGAATGGGCCAGTCACTGTGTGTCCCCCTCCCGCCCTCCACGGGGCAGCTGAATCACCTGCAGATGCTGTGAGTGCTGGGGGTGTTGTTAGCACTGGTTAGGGCACGCACCCTCTTTGTGGTTTCAGCACTGATGGGGCTGCAGCTGCCACATCCAATCCAACCACTCCCTGTCAGGGACCCTCCCTCCTGCCCTCCACGGGCCAGCTGAATCACCTGCAGATGCTGTGAGTGCTGGGGGTGAGTGCTGGGAATAGTGTTGGCACAGGTAAGTGTGTGAGCAACCCATATCTCGTAACTCCTCTGCTGTTCCACTATTAATTCGCCTGACTTATCCTCTCTCTGCCCTTTCCTTCCTCACTCTCCCTCCCTCCAACTCTTCATCTCGCCCTCTCTCCCAGGGACCTGTCTCGCAACCGCTTGTCTGGAGCCATCCCAGACGCATTTGCTGACAAGCCTGCCCTCAACTCCATGTGAGATCCGCCCTCCTTTAGATCCGCGTTACTAAAAACGCACCCTCAAACTCCATGTGAGATACTCCCTTTCTGAAATAAGCCTTCCTTGAAAATAAACCCTTCACTTCTTGTGAAATACGCCCTCAATCCACATGAGACACACTCTCAACTTCGTGGGAGACACGCCCTTCTTGAGGTAAGCAGTGCTAATCTAAATACGCCCTCAACTCAGCAGCCTCACACCCTCATCCCCACCCCTCACCCTCCTGTCTTCGAGCCAACTCTGCTCATCCACTTCATCCTGTCTCTGCCTCACTCGTTCAATTTCTCCTATCCCCGTTGCCCTTTCCCCATCCCCCCATTCTCTTCCCCCCCCCCCCCCCCCCCTCCAATCCAACCAGAGATCTATCTTTCAATGCGCTCACAGGCCCACTACCTCCCACGCTCTCCACCTGTGGCTCTCTGTACACGCTGTAAGCAGCTCCTGTTTACGTTATAAGCAGCTCCTGTTCGCCATATAAGAAATCTGTCTTTCAACACTCTCACAGGTCCCCTGCCACCCACGCTCTCCACCTGTGGCTCTCTGTACACGCTGTAAGCAGCTCCTGTAAGCTGTACCCCCTACAGCAGCTTTTGTACTCCACATAAGAGGCTCTTGCCCTGTTCACCCTAGACGCAGTTCCCATACAACCGCAAAAACCATCCTTTTTTCAAACAGATCAACCATGTGTGAGTTGTTTACAACAAAATGGCATCAGCAAACTATTCTCCTAAACAAAATGGTTTTAATCCTTGTTCCAAACAGATCAACCATGTGTGAGTTGTACCGCTGTAGTTCTTTCGCTTAAGCCTACTACGCTACACAACTGCTGCTCTCTGAGAATTATGAATGAACATCGCGCAGACTATTCTCCTTTCCGATGAAACGTCTTGTTGACTTTTGAGTCGACTCAAAAGAAATTTGACTGAACATCGCGCAGACTGAACTGATCTCCTCTTCGATGAAACATCTTTTCCACATCACCATCACAAGCACCATCACAACCACGCATCACAACAAACAAACACTCTTGTCTCGCCTGTAAACCCGCCTTTCCACAGCCCTTCCCTACCCCTACCCTTCCCCACCCCTACCCTTCCCCACCCCTACCCTTCCCCACCCCTACCCTTCCCCACCCCTGCCCCTCCCCACCCCTGCCTTTCCCCCACCCTTGCTCTTCCCCACACCACCAGGGACGTGAGCAGCAACTCTCTCAGTGGCGCTCCTGGCACCGTTGTCAGCAACATGCCTACCCTCTCCTACCTGTACGTCCCTCCTCTCCCTCTCCTACCTGTACGTCCCTCCTCTCCCTCTCCTACCTGTACGTCCCTCCTCTCCCTCTCCTACCTCCACGCCCCTCCTCCCCCTCTGTCTGTAACGCTTTCTCTCCTTGCTTCGCCTTCCGGCACCACTGTCCTCGTCATACCCTCCTCCTCTCCCTCCCCCACCTGTAGGCCCCTTTCCTGTCCTCCTAACCCCTCCCTCTCCCCTCCCCCCCCCCTGCTCCCCACCCCTTACCCCTTCTCCCATGCTCCCCTACCACCACCCCTAGTGTCACCCCATCCCTCCCTCTCAGCAACCTATCTCAGAGCTTATTCAACATTTGTTTTAAACTGGCTCTCTTAATAACGTTCTAAGCTAGCGCACAACCAGGCCCCTTCTGCCATTTTTCCATGGAGTTTGTTTCGTTGTCCTAATACAACACAAGTTGATGGAAGTAAGGCCTCCGCAGCCCACCTTTCCTGTCTTGACAGCTCCCTCTCAGCATCCTATCTCAGAACTTCTTCACAATGCTGGTCTGGTCCCCAGAGTGATAGGGTAACGGGCAGCCAGCAGAGCAGATGATGTCATACGGCATCAGCTCCAACTACTTCCACAGCCCGGACTTGTTTCAAACACACCTCTTCACCCCTCTTTACCACTTGTTGCGCCTCCCTATGCCAGCAATCTCTCCCAGAACTACTTTACAGGCCTGGTCCTGCCCGCGGGTAACGGACAGCCAGCAGATGGTCTCCTACGACATCAGCTCCAAGTACTTCCACGGCCCCGGACTCGTCTCCGACACCACAATCCCCCTCTCGTCACCCCCTCGCCCTGCATTGCCTTCCCCTGCTCCCCATCCGTCTCCACCCCTCTCCACCCCTCTCCACCCCTCTCCACCCCTCTCCACCCCTCTCCACCCCTCTCTTCCCACCCCATGCCAGCAACCTGTCTCAAAACTATTTTACAGGTATAGTGCCGCGTGTAACGGACAGCCAGCAGATGGTCTGCTACGATATCAGCTCCAACTACTTCCACGGGCCTGGGCTCGTCTCCGACACCACCCCCCTCGCGCTGCCCCTCTCCACTCCTTGCTGACCCTTCCACCCCTCTGCACCCCTCTCTACCCCTTTGTTGCCTTGCCTCACAATCTCAGAAACTTGTCCCAGAACTACTTTACAGGTCTGGTCCCCAGGGTAACAGACAGCCAGCAGATGGTCTCCTACGATATCAGCTTCAACTACTTCCACGGGCCTGGGCTTGTTTCCGACACCACCCCCCTCGCGCTGCCCCTCTGCAAGACGGGGTTCGAGCCGGGAACCTTCTCGGCAGCTTCCAACTGCCTGGTGTACGGCGTTGCGACGGAGAATTCCTGCCCGACTCGCGTCGGCCCCATGAGCACAGGGGAGCTGCTGCAGGTGGGGATGGGGAGGGGTGAGGAGGGGTCTAGATGGGTACGGATGTGTGGTTGGGTGTACGGGGCTGGTTGCGGCTGAGAACTCCTGTCCCAATCGCACTGGCCCCATGAGCACAGGGGAGCTGCCGCAGGTGGGTCTAGTCACAGGGGTATAGATGAATATAAGTGGGTATGGAGTAAGGTTGCGGCTGAGAACTCCTGTCCCACTTGCACTGGGCCCATGAGCACAGGGGAGCTGCTGCAGGTGGGGATGGGGAGGGGTGAGGAGGGGTCTAGATGGGTACGGATGTGTGGTTGGGTGTACGGGGCTGGTTGCGGCTGAGAACTCCTGTCCCAATCGCACTGGCCCCATGAGCACAGGGGAGCTGCCGCAGGTGGGTCTAGTCACAGGGGTATAGATGAATATAAGTGGGTATGGAGTAAGGTTGCGGCTGAGAACTCCTGTCCCACTTGCACTGGGCCCATGAGCACAGGGGGGAGCTGCTGCAGGTGGGGATGGGGAGGGGTGGGGAGGGGTCTAGATGTGTATGGATGTGTTGGTGAGTGTATGGGTTGTGACGGAGAATTCTTTCCCCACTCTCACAGGCCCCATGAGCACAGTTTTGAGTCGACTCAAAATGAGCTGTGTTTTGAGTCGACTCAGAACACAGGCCCCATGAGCAAGAGGGGAGCTGCTGCAGGAGAGGATGGGGGGAAGGGGTCTGCTGAGTAACACTCCAAGTGGGTAGGATGGTGTGATGCGTGAGTGTATGGGTTGCTCAGGGTGACTCATCCAACTGCCTGTGTACGGCGTTTCCATAATCCGCGTGTAATAGACGACTTTTGAGACGTCTCAAAAGGGTTGCTCAGGGTGACTCATTTAACTGCCTCGTGTACGGCGTTTCCATTCCATTCTATCTTTACGGAGAATTCTATGCCCCATGCCCCCTGCTGCTCTCCCCTGCTCTCCTCTTCTCTCCCGTGTTTCACCCCACACCCACACCAGGTGGACACACAACGTTCCGTAGCAGCCTGCCTCGCCTTCTGCCGCACCAACGTCACTCGCACCGCTGCCAACTCGCAGTGCGGCTCGCTGGGGACGTGCGTGGTGGAGATGACAGGAATCCCCCTCCGCCCTTCCTTCTCCTGCGACTGCTTCAAAGGGACTCTCCGCTCCCCTGACGGCCTAAACTGCACGGCCATTGGTAAGGCCTGAATCGCATCCCGTAGAGTGGTAGTATGGAAGCTAGTGCCGCCGTTCAGCCCCCCACCCGCCCCTTCTTCTCCTGCGACTGCTTCAAAGGGACTCTCCGCTCCCCTGACGGCCTCAACTGCACGGCTATTGGTAAGGCCTGAATCGCATCCCGTAGAGTGGTAGTATGGAAGCTAGTGCCGCCGTTCAGCCCCCCACCCGCCCCTTCTTCTCCTGCGACTGCTTCAAAGGGACTCTCCGCTCCCCTGACGGCCTCATCTGCACGGCTATCGGTGAGGCCTGAATCGCATCCCGTAGAGTGGTAGTATGGAAGCTAGTGCCGCCGTTCAGCCCCCCACCCGCCCCTTCTTCTCCTGCGACTGCTTCAAAGGGACTCTCCGCTCCCCTGACGGCCTCATCTGCACGGCTATCGGTGAGGCCTGAATCGCATCCCGTAGAGTGGTAGTATGGAAGCTAGTGCCGCCGTTCAGCCCCCCACCCGCCCCTTCTTCTCCTGCGACTGCTTCAAAGGGACTCTCCGCTCCCCTGACGGCCTCATCTGCACGGCAATCGGTGAGGCTTGCATCGTGCTCGCTTGTCCCACCAACCACGCAATGGGGTGTAACAAGCGAAGGAAGGCATGCTGTTACTATATCTACTCTCGTACCACTGCCAACTCCCACTGCGGCTCGCTGGGGGCTTGTGTGATTGGGTTGAGATTACAGGAACCTTGTGCTGGTGAGGCGCCTTGTGCAAGGCCTGAACCTCCGCCCCACTCTGCCCCACTCCGCCCCACTCTGCCCCACCCTGATTCTCCTCCGTCTCCCTCTCTGCCCTGAGTTGTTGCTCCCATCACTAAACTATGCCTTCTTGCTTCTTGCTCTTTCCCCTCCTTTCCCAACTGCAGAGAAACCCTCCCCTTCACCTCCTCCCCCCCGGCCACCCCCTCCCCCCACGCCCCCCTCACCGCCTCCCCATTCGCCTCCTCCCTCCCCTCCTCCCGCCACTGTTCCCCTTCCGAGTCCTCCCCCACCCACTCCTTCCCCTCCCCCGCCCTCCCCTCCCCCACCAACGCCGCCTTCTGACTCGGGGGGTGTTGAAACAGCATCCGCCCCAACCCCTGCGCCTGTTTCTCCCCCTGATAGCCCAACTCCCCCTAGCCCCCCTCCCCCGTCCCCTCCCCCTTCCCCTCCCCCACCCTCCCCTCCTTTGGAGAGTCCCCCTCCCCCTTCCCCTCCTCCCCCCTCCCCTCCTCCCCCCTCCCCTCCTGTGGACAGCCCACCTCCCCCTTCTCCCCCTCCTTCTCCCCCTCTAGAATCCCCCCCACCGCCCTCCCCACCCCCCCCATCTCCTCCCCCTCCCTCGCCACCACCATCGCCCCCTCCCCCTTCCCCTCCTCCGCCCTCTCCCCCTCCTCCCTCCCCTCCTCCGCCCTCTCCCCCTCCCCCCACCCCCCCTCCGCCTTCCCCAAGCCTTAGGGAGGACTTGGATTCCACAACCAATGGGGATTTGCCAGCTGTCCCGCCAGACTCTCCCCCGCCTCCTCCTGACTCCCCCCCTCCCCCACCTCCAGACTCGCCCCCTCCCTCTCCCCCTCCTTTCCCCCCTCCCTCTCCCCCTCCCTCCCCTCCTCCCTCTCCTCCTCCCTCGCCTCCTCCCCCATCTCCGCCCTCTCCTCCTCCCTCCCCTCCTCCTCCTCCTCCTCCCTCTCCTCCCCCCAGCCCTCCTCCCTCTCCTCCCCCCAAGCCTCCTCCCTCCCCTCCTCCCTCCCCTCCACCCCCCTCTCCTCCCCCTCCTCGCCCACCCCCACCGTCTCCCCCTCCCCCGTCCCCGCCGCCCCCCTCACCACCACCGCCTGCCACCCCTCCTCCTTCGCCCACCTTTTCCGGAGCTAAGTGCGGGTGGTTCTTGGGGTACTATAAGTGTGAGAACCACGACGAGAAGCAGTTGCAATAAACTTACTGGGCAAGGTGCCATTAGGGATTCTCAAAACCCACTGGACAAGGTGGCATTGGCATGGGGGGACAATGACTGCTCCGCAAATCCATTGCCGGTGGTTCAAGTGAGGATGGTTCTTGGGGTACTGTAAGTGCGAGAATGACGAAAACGACAAGTAGTCAGCTTGATATTGGTGGAGATCGGAAAAGCTGCAAGATTGCGAGTCAAGTGCGGGTGGTTTTGGGGTACCGTACAAATTAAGGGTGAGATCCACGAGGAGGAAGTGAGTGACTGCTTCATTCAGTGCCCTCGCCTGTGGACCAAGCTTTGTGGGGCAAGTCTGGGTGGTTCTTGGGGTGTAGGTACTTTACGCGTGACGTGATGTGACAACACAATGAGAAGCAGTTGGCTTGTTCTGTAGAATAAACTGCTCCGGGAGTCCATTGCAGGTGGTTCGAGTGTGGGGGGTTTCCCGGTGTATCATAAGTGTGGGAAGAATTTTCCTGGGGGATGCAGGTTCCTTGAAGCTTCTCAATAGACTGGGGGCAGCTGGGGTGGTGGTATGTATGAGGGACAGCAACTGCTGTATGAGGGTCAAGAGCGGCTGACGAGAAGGCGTGAAGGAAAGTGCGGGTGGGGAAGGAGGACAAGTGTATGGGTTTCCTGGTATATTATAAATGTGAGAGGATCATTGTGAGACGCGGGCTTGCTAAGCTAATGCTGTTTGAAACTGGTGGTTAGAGATCAGAAGCTTTCTGGGTTTGTCCAAGTGACTTGTGTTTTGCTGAAAGTGCTGGGAGGGATGAATGGGAAGGGGATTGGGCCAAGGGACCATTGTGGGGGGACGACTGTGGGTGGTGGTGAGGCGAATCTCGGTTACTGAATGCTAGTTTTTGAGAGATGTGAAATCTCCTGTTGTTATAACAAAGCATTAAAAACTTATGGATGGCAATGGGTGTAGTAGACCTGGATTTGTTACGGTAACTGTGAGAGCCCCCATGTAAGGAATTTTGCTAATTCCTTACTGAGGCACCGCTTACGCGTACATCTCCAACTTTTCGGAGTTCAGGCTCGGTCCGACGACCTCGCCTCCCGAATGTCCTCCGCGTCGCCTTCGGGTTTTCCAAACCCAAACCTACACCCAACCCTCGCACGACTTCGCGACCTCGGGCTTAGCTAGCCTTGCTATATTATGCCTAGGCCCCGATGTTTGCTCAGTAGTTGTAATCACTTCCGCGATATTGCATTCTGCGCACTCTTCTTTCATACAACTCATAACACCTGGTATCAGAGCTACTTTCCTAGGTTACCCTCCACTTTCCGGGGTAGTTTAGTACGGGGGTGCGATAGGTTTGGTGGGCTGCAAAGCGGTCGGCTGAGAGATAGATACGATTATCTCGCTCCGACTAATAGCGTTTGCGCCTTCATCAAAACCAGAAAAATCGTTGTTAACCCCCTGCCCGTTAGACGAAGCCTGCGACACATGGACCAGGCGGAGTTAAACGAGCTCATGCAACAGTTTCGGGCGCTGCAGGCCAACATGCAGACTATGTCTGGCGAGTTGGAGCGCCTGAGGGAGGAAAACGCCGAGCTACGCCAGACGCGAGGTGAAGCGCGTCAGGAGTCGCCCGCCGTGGATGAAGCAGGAAGCAGTTTCGTGCCTAACGACGAGGTCCTCAGCGAGCTACAGAACTCGCTGGACGCTGAAGACGAGCGGACAGCACGAACGCAACGAGCACAAGGGACGCAGGAGCAACAGTCACAGCCGAGGCAACAGTCGCAGACGACGCCACGACAGGCACCAGCGACAACCCCGGTGATGGCTTCAATGGCGCCCCCGATGCATGCAGCAGCAACAGTCTCAACAACTGTTAAAATAAAACCGACGAACCCGCCCCCGTTCAACCCCAGCGACAAAGCCGTCACTATGTCAGCTTGGTTGTTCGGTGTAGAGGTGTTTTTCAATGCTGCGCAAATTGCTGACGATGCTACCCGCATTAATTTTGCAGTGTCACTATTGCGAGGACCGGCGTTGGAATGGTGGAAGCGGACTCTTCAGCCAGAGGGGTCTCCGGCAGGGATATCACGTGCGAACGACGGGACCTGGGCAGCTGTCACGCAACAGGCAACTTCAATCTTCGGAGTGGCCACGATACGCACATGGACGGAGTGGGGCGCCGCGCTGCGAAGCAGATTCGAGCATGTATCCGCCTCGGATTCTGCTCGCATGAAGCTGCGTACCTGGAAGCAGGTGGCGTCGGTCCAAGATTACACGGCGACATTCTGCAATTTGGCTGACCAAGTGGACGATATGAGCGACGCGGAACGACTCGACCGATACGTCGCAGACCTCAAGTACGACGTACAGTACGAGGTGCGACGGGCGAGGCCACGCGTATTTATCGAAGCCGTCCAAGTGGCCGAATCGACGGATGCGCTGATGCAATGGGCGAGAATGAGTTCCCAGGAGGGCACTCAATTTCGTGGACCGCCGCGCCAGCCCACAATCAACGGGGTGGATGCACCGAGGCGGGGAAACAACAACTGCTTCAACTGCAACCAACCGGGCCACTGGAAGGACTGCCCGAAGCTGAAACAGGGAAACAGGAACGACGGAGAGGGGTCGGGAAAAGAAACGAGTCACTAGCAGTCGGGCCACCTACTGACGAGACCCCGTCGTCCGGCAATCAACATCCACACCGAGTAGTGGTACCGATACGGGCTATCGACCGCAACCGGACGAATAAGGTGGATGAACACGTGGATCACCCTGTGCTGGTCGTGGGGAGGGTTAACGGGCATAAAATAAAATTATTCGTCGACGGTGGGGCGAGCCACAGTCTCGTCAACCTGGCGACGACCAAAAAAATTGGAGTCAAGCTGGACAGGTGTCTACCAGAGATTGATGCGCGATTGGTGGACGGAACACCGCTGGCGATCAAGGACGAGGTCCGACAAATTCGGATGAAGTGTGGCGACGATTTCGGGTTCTCCATGCGAATGCTGGCGACAACACTGGACGGTTGCGATGTGCTGCTCGGAAGGGATTGGCTGCAGCGTTTCAATCCGACCATCGAATGGACGACGGGAGCGATCACGGTGCTGTGCAACAAGGGGCGCGTGACACTTCCGAAATGGGCGGAGCCGGAGCCGACGACAACACGTGTCAACGCGATAACGCTGAAGAGGGCGATAAAACGGGGAGCGCAAGGCTACGCCGTACAGCTGTACGAGGTGGTGGCTTCCGAAAAAATCGCCGACATCGACACGCTCTGCACTGCTGTACTCGACGACGTGGCGAGCATAATTCGGAGGTACTCCGAAATATTCGCGGATGACCTACCTGATGGGCTGCCACCTCAGCGTCCGGAAGACTACAGGATTGAGCTGGAACCAGGCGCGAAACCAACCGTTCGGTCCCAATGGCGGCTCAGCCAACCGGAGCTCGACGAATTGCAGAAACAGCTGGATCATCTGCTTTCTAAGGGTTTTATCCGGCCGAGCACGTCGCCGTACGCCGCCTTGATACTATTCACACCGAAGAAGGACGGAGGCCTGCGCATGTGCATCGACTATCAAGCGTTGAATCGGGTCACAATCAAGTCGCGTTACCCGATCCCACGAGCAGACGACCTGCTGGATCAACTTCGCGGGGCTCGTTTCTTCTCGAAAATCGATTTGCGAGGTGGCTACCATCAAATTCGTGTGTTCGCCGACGACTGCCCGAAGACCGCATTTCGCACCCGCTACGGCAGTTATGAGTACACCGTGATGCCGTTCGGGCTGACGAACGCACCCTCGACTTTCCAGCTCACTATGAATGGAGTGTTTCGGGACATGTTGGATAAAAAAGTTATTGTTTACCTGGACGACATCCTGGTGTACATCAAGACTCGGGAGCAACATTTACAGGACTTAGACGAAGTGTTCCGACGCTTGCAGCAGAACCGGCTGATTACGAAGGGCTCTAAGTGCGAGTTCTTACGGTTGGAGCTGGAGTTTCTGGGGCACGTTGTCTCTGGGGAAGGCATTAAAATCGACCCTCGAAAAGTAAAAGCGATTTCGGAGTGGAAGCCGCCCACGAACATCACTGAGTTGCAGAGTTTCCTCGGCTTCGTTAACTACGTCCGCCGTTTTGTACCCAATATGGCGGGGGTAACCAGGCCGTTAACCGATCTCCTGAATAAGGGCGTGCAGTTTTTTAGGGGGGAGAGAGAACAGGTGGCTTTCAACGAGCTGAAGAAAATTTTGAGTTCACCCCCGGTGCTTCGACTGGCAGATCCATCTCGACCGCTCGAAGTCGTGACGGACGCCAGCGATTTCGCTGTCGGCGCTGTGCTATTACAGGACTTCGGCAACGGACTACAACCCATCGCGTACGAGTCAAGAAAAATGCAGCCGCCCGAGCGCAACTACCCGGTTCATGACAAGGAAATGCTCGCCATCGTGCATGCGTCTCGAACATGGCGATGCTACCTCACGGGAGCGGATGTCACAATCCGAACTGACCACAAGTCACTACAGTACATGCGCAGCCAACCACAGCTCAACCCACGACAAATCCGGTGGCTCGACTACCTCGAATCAAATTTCCGCTACACCATCACATATAAAAAGGGCGCCAACAACATCGCCGACGCTCTGACCCGCCCATCCATGCCGACCGCAGCAGTACTAATCGCCCATTCCAACCCTTTATTGGCAGGATTATTCAAGCACGGCTACAGGATCGACAGATTTTTCAGGACTAGTCAACACCGCGGGGTCACTACACCGTATGGAAGTTACTACCTAAAAGTCGGTACTAACCGAGTTTGGGTACCTTCCTACCGACCCTTACGCGAATTACTGACGCAAGAAGTACACGACTCCAACCTCTCCGGGCATTTCGGCGTCGACAAAACATTGAAGCTGTTGCAGCGGAACTACTACTGGCCCGACATGGCGTCGGACGTGCAGCGCTATGTGTCCGCCTGCCCGACCTGCCAGGCAATGAAGTCATCACGACAACGACCAGC